ACAATTGTCTCTTTTTTCTGGTGGAATAATTCTATTCTATTCTATTCTATTCTATTCTATTCTATTCTATTCTATTCTATTCTATTCTATTCTATTCTAAATTATCAACATGCTAAAGTATGTAAAATTGTTCACAAACAAGCCATGCATGGCACAGTCCCCATTAGTTATCAAATTTAAGATATATAGTTTTGTTTATAGTAATATAGCTGGAATATAAACATGTCAGGAATATGATTATGATGATTGTTTAACATTAAATGATTGACATTTGTATCTGATTGTCAAACGAGTATTAAGAAATATTGCTCTGGAACAGCATTAATTAAAACAAAATCAGCCATTTTGAATACATATATAATGAATATATAAAATTTGAACATAGTCAGTCACACCAGAGATATGGCTCTAGAAGCCCATTCATTAAAACAAAATGGCCACTAGCCAGCCATTCTGAATCCGATCTAAAAAATAGGCCAATAGCCAATTGCTCAACGGCTATTGTACAAAAGATTAGTGCTGTATATGACAAATACTCAAAACATAATGTTAAAAGTGGAATTCTTTTCAAAAATAATAGAAATATTCAATAAAATTAGAATCAAAGAGAGCTTAAAAAGAACTCCAGCGAGTTGAGAGAATAACATAAGATGATATTTGCAATTATCTGAATTCGTAATACATGTATATACCAAGTTTTGTTAAAATATGTTGAATGGTTCTTGAAATAGCACCCAAATACCGGTAGCTTGAATTTCACTAACTGATATGCACCAAAAACTAAATATATCTGGAAACTGCCTCAATGCAACAAGTTTTATTAAAACATATTAAATGGTTCTCAAGATATCACCGAAATAGCCTAAATATTGGTATGTAAATTAGGCAATTTGCATAATTTCCCACCAAAATCAATCATACACATTTAAATATGTTGAGTGGTTATGTTTTCATTACAATCACAATAGACCAATTAAAGAAAACTTAGAACTCCCATGTGCTATGTGAGAATGAGAAACTGTTGACAGAACAAATGGGAAAAATTACATCACTCCCTGTGAGCATATAATTTCAATATGGCATCATTGTATAATCTTCCCAAGTTTTGTCCAATTTCCCGACAACTGTAGTGCATTAAACAGAAGGTAATAAAAAAATCATGAATTTCTGAAATTTTTGATAGATTTGACCACTTTTAGTGACTGGGTGAAGTGTCACCCAAGCTACATGTGTACCAAATATCAAAGAATTTGGACTACTGGTTTTGAAGAACAAGTCAAAAGTACTATTTTTGATGAAAAATGACAAAATATTTGCTAAAATAGAGAATTGAAGATGTCAACACAAAATGAACAAATCTGATAGAGGTCCACCCAACGTATATACCATGCTGGTTTGAGAGCAATCGGACTACCAGTTTCGGAGAAGAAGTCGAAAATAGCATTTTTGACCAAAAATGACAAAAAATATTCGCTAAAAATAGAAAATTGAAGATATGGACATGAAATGAATAAATCTGATAGAGGTTTATCCAAGTTATATACCACATGA